CCAGATAAGGGAAACAACATTCATCCCTGAGATTAACTAGTACGCCTTCCATGCAGCGCTGGAATGCTGCAGGTGCATTGGTAAGGCCAAAGGGGAGACGTACCCATTCATAGAACCCCCAAGGTGTGCTAAAAGCGGTCATGTGACGGCAACTTTCCTCAACAAAACCTTGATGGTATGCACTACCTTGGTCTAGTATCGAGAACCAGGAGTTGCCTCCTAAATTATCCAACAGGTCTTGAATGCGTGGCAGTGGGTGACGGTCAGGAATAGTTTTATTGTTCAGTCCCCGGAAATCAACACAGAGACGTAAACTCTGGTCCTTTTTTCTTACGCACACGACTGGAGATGAGTAAGCTGATGTTGACTTTCGAATCCAGCCACGGTTAAGTAAATTCTGTACATAATCTTTGACTTCACGATATAAGGGTTTTGGTATGGCATTATATGACTTTTGTATTGGAGTGTCATCCCTAAGATTGATTCTCAGTTGCAACTCTGGGATGCACCCAATATCTGCCTCATCTTTGGCAAAGGCCATAGACTCTTCATATAACATTTGCCTGACAACTCTTTGCTCCTCCTCTGCTAGGTGGGATACATCAACTGGAGGGTGCCATTTGTCTCTGACCTTTGATACTGCCTCTCTATCAAGCTCTTTGTTGTGATAGCTCTGAGAGTTAGTGCATAACTGGGCTCCACAAGTCTGAATGGACTCAATATTCTTGTGCTTGGAGTTCAGTACAGGCTTCAAATCAGCAATCTCTTCAAGCGTACCCAGGACTGTTCTTTGAGTCAGGTAAATAGTGTGTTGGGTTGAGTTCTGAATGGGGATTTTAACACATTTTGATGACCCCAAGGGAACGTCTACCAGTGATGGAAACAGATCTAAACCCACCGGGCAAGTACTCTCAGTAAGAGGTTGAAACAGCATGGTACAGTTTCCGGGTGCCCCCTTAACTCGACACCGAACTTCATAGATTTTGCCAGCAGGGATGGTTACACCTTTTTTACTGCTGCGTACAACACAAGGAGTTGGTTCAACAGAAGTTGGTATCTGAAGGAGAGAGACTAGTGTTCCGATGGAGCTCTTTGGTATACTTAAAGAATCTGTCAGGATAGCGGTCACATCCACAGTGTTGCCATGCTCTTTAATAATTTCAGCGATTACGTTGCTACCTAACAAGGGACAGTGGCAGTTCTGACTGATTAAAAGGGGTACACTTATTGTTATAGACCCATGGTGTCTGCTTGAAATCTGTAGGTCAACTTCTGCCCATCCCTCAAGGGGTATTTCAGTGCCATTAGCTGCTGAAATTTCAAGTGACTGACTGTTAAGAAGTGAATGAAGTGGCTGGATTTTGACATGGGGTGATGCTTTATCTACCCAAGTTTTGCTAACCATTGTCACCTGTGCTCCAGAATCTAATAACATTTCTATTGGCACACCATTGATATTACAGGAAACAGTGCAACGATTTCCAATGAGCTGGGCCACCCGTTTCTTTGGGTCTGAATGGCAAGGTGTGGCTGACATGGTAGCTGTGTCTGTGGGCTTAGAACTGTTCACGGTCGCTGGCTGCCCTTCTCCAGCGACCTCTTCCCGTTTACCGACATCCGTCTCTGCAAACATCCAATTGCTCTGTGCCCTGCCTGACCACACACAAAGCAATGGGGACAGTTAATTATCTCTTTCATTATGCATTCAGGCCATCTACCCTTTTTCTCACTTGTTTGGGATGGCGGGTGCTTAACAGGTGTACTAGAACTTCCAGTCGGTGGACGGTCAACAGGCTGATTCACCAGTTTCATATGTTGAGTCAGTGAGGACACTTGAGCCGTCAGCTCTCTGATGGCTTCACGGTTAGCCTGCAACTCAGCATCAATTTGGTTTTGTTTTGTCACGTCAGTCGGTACAGTTATGTCAGAATGAGCTACACTCACAGTCACTGACCTAGACTTGGCCACAGCACCAAGGCGCTTTAACCTAGCTTCTTCCTCCATGGTTGACTTAGTCAGCTGTTCCAACAGTGAGTCATCACTAACTTGTGTGTCAGCAAGGAAAGGTTTAATGTCCTGCCTAACATAACTGTTCTTGTCATTTAAACCTTGATACAAGGAGTGCAGAAAAGTACCTTGAACCAGTCGCTTATCATAGTTAAACTCTACACCAGGCTGCTGTGACTCAAACAGAACTCGTTGTTTTAGCCCTATAAGTCTATAAAGAAACTGGTGTGGACTCTCTTTGTCATGTTGTTTAGCATTACTGAGCTCATGAAAGAGCTCGGTTACACCTTTATCTCTCACATGTGCACGGAGAAGTCTCTTTAACCCATTTACTGTTAAACCGTCATGATTAGTGAGCATTTCTCTGAAGGTACCAGATTTAGTTATCTTAAGCACTGCTCTAATAATTTCAACCTCACTAAACCCCTCTTGTAGAGCAGTGTCAATCTGCTTACAGAGACCACTAAAAGAAATGTCAGACCCAGTATCAGATATTTGACCCCCATGAAATTTGCATTCCCGACGAGGTAGCAAAGCTGTGACATCCGACAGTCTCACAACCTGATCAGTGACAGATGAAGATAGACTTGCTCTACCCTGTTGGGTGTCACGGATACCAGTGTCACCTAAGTGACCTGGTGTGTAAATAGTTCTGTCTATAGGTGATGTCAGGGCAGGCGAATCATGACTGAGGGACGGTGGTGCATGAAAGTCTGTATGTGATGGTTGTGCATGTTTGTGTTTGTCCATTGCATATGTGTGTATGTCCTCTGCTGAAGCAGAAACTTGTCTGTGTGTATGGGTAAGTGCATTGTCTATGGGAACGGCAGTAACATTGGCCTCACCAGATCCAGAATCGATTGATGTCAGTTCCTGCAACAGTTCCTGAAGTGAGAGAAGTTGAGCCATACCTTCATCTTCCATTGTTTTCAACCTTTCACTTCTGGTGTAGTCGATGATGAAATCATAAAGCTCAGGTTCACTGAGGCCTTCTGTACTCTCACTGCCATCTTCAATAGCCCTGGCAACCAACTGCAGTTGACTGGTACTCAGAACAGGAAGCTTTTTGTGAATCTGGAAAATCAACATCCGTCGTGGGGTTACGGTAGCCATCGCGATTTTTCACCAGTGACGCTCACACTCTGGATGACGCTGGGCACAGCAGCCTTCCTTAAAGCTCGATCGCCAACCTCTACCCGTAGCGTGACAGCTCTCCCCACTCGACGATGCAGAATCCCGGACGAGCCCCCAATTGTTACCGGCTCCAGACCTAGGGGAATCTGGACCGGCACAAGCCAAATCACGCACAAAACTGTGAATGATAAGGAGACAGACACGTTATAGCATTGCTCGAGTGCAGTTTAATATATCAAAGATAATTACTTCTTTTAAAGCTAACACATTGTACACAGTGTTCCAGAATAAAACCAAACGTATATCAATAATATAAAATTCAAATGTGTCATGGATATTAATACATCATATTACTCAATGCAATATCAATACACAATATCAATACACACTCAATGCAATGTAACTAGATTTTCTCTGTGAACAAAAGGCATTAATACATTGAACAAAAATACTTTATACACTTGAATACACTCCTCAGAATACAGTCTTGGTCTTACTTTGAGATACTCAAGTAATATTACAAGAATTATTAAAATAATACATTTCTTACTCTATCCATAACTACTGGTATAAATGCAAAAATGATGCTAATCATTATAATTAATTCAATGTAACATTTTCCTTCACAACATTTCCAATTTACATTACATCAGCATTTATATTAACACTTGTTAATATATTTATGAGAAATACCGACAATTTAGGATTAAATAAATGTCACTTTTACTCATGTAATAACCCTAAGTTATTGAGAAAGCCAATTATGATGTTATAAAACCAAAAATCCAGCATTAAAACATTAAACTTGTACTATCACTTATTACTATTGTGTTACTATACACTACTATACAGCGTTATGCTTTCACAAACATTTTAGAAGAGAATCAATATAAAAATATGCCCCATATTAACCTAATCTGGCTGACATTCATAACAAATGTAACAATTACAACAATTACTTAACATTAAAGTGCTTAGAAAAGGATCTAATGCATATTTCTGAATGCATACATCACTACATGCTCCGTTCACATCATTTGAGTTAACCATTAACTCATCATTAGCTTCGGCTGCTTTTGCTAACCACGAGTGGCTATAATGTTTACGATCTAATTAAACCAAAAACGAATCAATGCATAGAACTAACACCTTCTAACATAGTTTCTTAACATTTCTTAAGAGTAAAGATGATAAATATTTCACACAAACCACTTTAAATGAGTGTTTATCCATACCTGTGAATGATAAGGAGACAGACACGTTATAGCATTGCTCGAGTGCAGTTTAATATGACCTCGAGCTGCCGGTCTCCTAGGTAACCCACTAACGCGCCACACTGCCCTCTACAGGTGTGGTGGTGAACTACATGAATCATTTCATTTACTCATAAGAACTAGGACAGGAATAAAACAAAAAAATTGAGGTAAAGGGTGAGAGGGGGGGTTAACTTTTTCTTTTAATCACATTATATAAAATAATATCCCTCTATCCGTCACATACTGCCCTTTTTATTTCCCTCCAGTTATTTTCCATTATTGATTTTTTTTTTAGATTGACTATTTTCTCTGCTCTGTCAGACTGAAGTCATTCACACTGAGATCATCATTAATATTCACAAGAGCTTGAAATATCATCTGTAATGAGTTACTGTTTACAACTAGTAAACCAGCATGTGTTCCTAGTGTCTTATAGTCCTGTTTACTGATAAACTACATTTTCATCATGATTATTTCTGTGTTTCAGGGGTTTCTGCTGCTGAATGGGGTGTGAATTACAGTCCTTCACATCTATGTGCACTGCAAGACTCAACAGTGACAATCGGTTGTATTTATAAGTATCCATCTACCAAATATCAGATCATGAAAGTGTTCTGGAACATAGACCAGGTAAAACATGATGATAGAGAGTTTGCAGATCTGTTTAATAACTCTGAATACAGTCAGAGGCTTCAGTATCTGGGAGACAAACAGCAGAACTGCACCGTCAGACTGAGTCATGTGACAAAGAAAGATGAACACCAGTATTATTTCAGATTCACTACTAATGGAACTGGAGGAAGGTGGATTGGTATTCCAGGAGTGCGTCTCTCTGTCACAGGTGACTCTCCTGAGGTTTCTCTCTTCTTGTGGTCATTATGTAGAATAATAATCAGTGTATGAGAGCAGCACTAGATATAATGTGTGTGTTGTGTTCAGATCTTCAGCTGGTGTCTCCTGAGAGAGTGACAGAGGGAGATTCAGTCCGTCTGACATGTAACAGCAGCTGTAAACTGACTGACACACCAACATTCATCTGGTACAGAAACTCACACACATTGACTAATATTGGAGATGAACTCAACATCAGGTCAGTCAGTAGAACAGAAGCAGGACACTACAGCTGTGGTGTGCAGGGACAAACCTACATCTCTCCTGCTGTTTATCTCAATGTCACATGTAAGTTTTTATTTGTTATTTTTGTATTTTAACCTTTTAGTATTCACACTTTTAACTTACTTTTTTCAGACTTGCAATACATATAGTCAATCCATAAAGTTAAAATACACACTTCTGCAATACTGTCACCATATGGTATGAACATGTTGCTGCTTATATTGTTCATACAGATAACAAATAAATGTAACACTGACAAACTCAATTTAACATGAGGACATTATGCAGCCAAATATGAAAGCCCATGATCAGGGGATTCAGGTCAGACCAAACACACTTGACTTGATCATGTGTATTCACTGTAGAGACAGCAGAAAAGCTGATGGTTTGAATGTGATGTCTGTGTCCTCCTCTGTGCTTGTATTCAGATGTATCTTGTCATTTGGTCCATTTTTTTATTTATTTTGTTTGGTTTCCCCTCTTAGTTTCTTTTTTTAATGCTCATCTGTCTTTTGTCAAGTTTGTGTCTCATGATTTCGGGTAGGGAAAGGAGCAATGACTCAAATGCAGTAACTGAAATGAGTTCATTAATAAAAAAAATAAAACAAAAACCACCCCGACTGGACAGGAAGAGGACATGACCCTCAGGTAGAATGACGACAAACTGGCACAGGACAACAGTCAGCTGACAGTCACGCACCCCTACATGACTGTTTTGATGATTGCATAGGAGGGGCGACGGCACCTGTAATGAAAAGGAAAGGGAATCCTGCCATTTTTATATTTATTTCAAAGTGTTTTCATGCCTAAACAAAGCACCAAATAGACCAAATAGTTGTGTATACGGAGGCTCGGCTCTTTAATGTTTATTTGGCACCCTTCAGAGAAAAACTGAAAATACGGGAAAATACCTTTACGGGATGATAGTGGGATAGAACTGTAAAATACAGGAGAATCCTGGGAAAAACGGGAGGATTGATAGGTATGGTCTAAAGACAAAGACAAAGACAGGATATGTGAATGCTCAACCCGAATAAACTCGAGCAGAGTTTACTTTATTATTGAAAATGAAAAAAAAAACAAAAACGCAAAAGACATTAAAAAAAAAAAACAATGGGCAGCTCTTTACACTGATCTTCAGTTCTAGTTATTACATGTTTCTCCTGCAGATGCTCCAGATACTCCTGTGATCTCCATCAGTGGATCTGCTGTAATAATGTCTGGAGATTCAGTGACTCTGAGCTGCAGCAGCGACTCAAACCCTCCCGCAGAAATCAACTGGTTTAAAGGAAATAAAGCTCTGGATTCTGGAAGAATCTTCAACATCTCTGATGACAGTGGAGAATACAAGTGCAGAGTCAGAAATGACCATGGAGTGAAATACTCTGTTGCTGTGATTTTAAATGTGCAGTGTGAGTTTATGATGGTTCAGCAACTGATACATTAAACCCACAAAATGTAATCTGTGACACCATATCACAAGTGTTGTGATTGTTAATGATATCAGCGTGTTCCCGTTTCAGATCCTCCCAGGAATGTCTCAGTGTCTATCGTTGTTTCTGGTCAGCTTTGGTCTGATTCAGTGGGTCTGATGTGCATCAGTGACTCAAACCCTCCTGCTCTGAGCTTCAGCTGGTTTGAGGAGAATCAAAGCTCAGCTGTTGGATCTGGACAGAGTTTCAGTGCAGTACAGAGTGGACGCTTCTACTGTGAGGCTCACAATCCACATGGAGCTCAGAGATCAGACGCCGTCACTGTCACTGGTGAAGCTTTTATCATCACACTCCTGTAACTTCATCAGTCTGGAGAGTTAATCATGATCTGCTTCATCTTTCAGTTCAGCAACATGCTGAGAGAAACATCATCATCACAGCGACATCTGGAGGATTATTCATCATCGTCGTCATCATCATGTTTGCAATGTGAGCTCAATAAAGCCTTCAGTGATCGTATAAAACTGCTTAATTGCTTAATTAATCTAACATTGAAGTAAAAGATGTTTCATCTTTCTTCTGACAGAGTTTCTAAAAGGAAGAGCAGAAGCATTGAAATCTGATCTGCAGAAGATCTGCAATGAGTCTGCGGTGAGATGATCTTCTATGTGCTGTGATTTCCTGCATGTTTCCTACAGCAGACATGTAGATCATGCGCCGAGTGCGGCAGTCGTTTTTCCCATCCTTAAAATAGCTAAAGTGGATTCAAATTCATCCCATAAGAGCTCCTGTGCCTTGAACTTGTACCAGGAATTTAGAACATTAAAATAGAGAAATTTTTCTTTTCTCTGTCCAGACATATGCAGGTCTGGATCTCCAGTCCGCGACCTCTGACCTGTACAACACACTCACAGTAAGTGAAAGTCAAAGTCAGGCAATGGTCACTGATGATCAGATGATTGATGATCTCTCGCTGTCTTTCACACAGACCGTTCACCACAGACCTGCTGAAAACTCCTGCTCCACTCTTGATCCTCAGAGCTCTTCTGAACATCACAATCCACCAGTAAGAGACAATATCAGCCATAAACCCTCTCAGCAGCAGTTTGATTATTGGATGAGCCTCTTCAAAGAGTTTAATGTGGTTGAGCTTCAGTCTTTCTTCATCTTATTGTCTGTTCAGATCAACAGGAGGAGGCTGCAGTGAGACGCGGAGCCAGAAACAACCAATCCTGAGAAGTGTGGGAGGAGCCACAGATGATTGACAGGGTTTATTAGTGATGATTTAATTACTAAAGTGCCATGGCGCGACCACTACTTACTCTTAAAGGGAATGAGAGATGAGTCTCTGATTGGTTTAATGCATGTTACTCCCTAAACACATCCATAACTAATTAAGAGAATAAGAACGACCCATTTGGACCATGTGCCGGTCTAAATCCTAAAAATTTAAATCCTTAAAAAGTTGATTCAGACACTTCTTCAGTGCTTTGTTCCATCTGCTTTAGACTTTTGAGTTTAGATTGCTAAAATGGAGCCCAATGTGTAAAACCCTCACTTCACCAGCAGAGGCCTCCATTTTCTAAATGTTTTATTTTTCATAAAAAAACTCTCCACTGATTTATGGTTTTCTGATGTACTGTGCTTAAAGTTATTTGAATGTGTTCTGCTTTATTTATAATGGATCATACTGTGAGCAATATTAATAATCTGAGTAGTCTGGTTTGTAAAGAGTGAAATGTTTCTCATTGTGATTTGTGTTTAATCTTTTTTACCTTTTATTTTTAGTCGTGTGTAAATGTGTATGTCTGTAATGACTAATGCTTTGCCAATGCAGTAAAGACTTTTCAAAGCCAGCTGAGTATCAATAATACATGTCTGTCAGCCTCTTCTGTCATTTATACACTTATTAAAGAGAAGACAAAATGACAAAAATGATTGTAGTGCAACTTTTTGATATCTCATTATCCTCCTAACTAGCAGAGCACACTGTAATGGACATTTTGAAAGGCAGTATCCACAAAATACAGATTTACATGGACTACAAATTACCATGTATTTTGCACCTTTTTTAAAAGAGCAGACTTGGTGCAGATGCAATCTGAGCTGCATTAAATGCTTTCTCAAGAGTTCACACTTAGCTGATGATTGATTATAAAGCTTGTTTGGCATGTTGTCCTGGGAGAGAGCCCTGAGCTCATAAGATCCTTGAGCCTGGGGCTTCCTCCCATTTGCAAAGCAAGAGGGGAGTTTGAGCTCAGGTAGATCTGGAGAACTCCCCTACTGTAGTAGCTAATAAACATATAGGCTGCGTCCGAAACCGCCTACTACTCAGTAGGTACTGCATTTGAATTTAAACGTACTACTCGGCCGTTAGAAAAGTGCGTTCTATACAGTATGAATGTGAAAAGTATGAATGGAATTCGGACGTACTACATCCGCCATTTTGTCATAGTCGCGTGACCTACCTGCGTCAGTTGCGTCGCCTCACTTCCATTCATGAATTTGCTTTCTGAGCATCAAGGGATAGCGCAGCATGCATGGGATGCGCACTCGGGAATCTCGCCAGAAGTAGTAAGTCATCCGGGTACTTCTCGCATACTGATTTTCGAATTCTATGAATTCGGACATACTACTCGGCTCGCATACTGCATACATTTTGGCGTACTATATAGTATGGAAGTATGCGGTTTCGGACGCAGCCATAGTGATTGCTCTTAAGAGAGAACTACTTACTAGGAGCATGTCTATAATGCTGATTTGGATTAGTCAATTAACTTAAGTTGCATGTTTTTGGACGGTGGGAGGAAACTCGTGAACCCGGGTGAACAACACATGTGAGCACTGGGAGAATGTGTAAACTCCACACAGAAATGTCGACTGGCCTGGTAAGGACTGGAACCAGTGACATTTTTGCTGTGAGGCAACAGTGCTAACCACTGGGTCACCGTGCCACCCATCTAGGAAAGGAGGAGGAGTAGGGGTGGAAGGGGGGATTCTTCAAAACGAAGATGGCTGTGATATAGAACTGAGGGTGTTTATAGTGGCTTAGGAATCGTCTGATGGGTGAATCATGAATTGAATAATGGGGGACCGGCTGCAAGCAATCACAACGTGATCCTCTGCAAATTAGCTTATAAATAAACTTTATTTAATGCCCACACCTAACCCCACCGCTAACCCAGCCCCTCACAGTGGCGTCACTATTGAGTGCATTGTGTCTGGGATATCTCTGAGATATGCAGTCTCAGCTTGAATCATCATGGCTGCATCCAGATATTATTGGCTTACCTTTTTATGTTTTGTACAAAAATTTATATATATATATATATATATATATATATATATATATATATATATATATATATATATATACACTGTTAGACCTTACCGGGGTTTTTTACAGTAGAATACTGGCAACACTGTTGCCAGCTACTCACTGTAAAAGTTTGGTTACAGTAAGTAACTGGCAACAGTGTTGCCAGTTAATTACTGTAACTGAACCATTACAGTAAGTGGCTGGCAACAGCGTTGCCAGTATTCTACTGTAACTAAACCATTACAGTGAGTGGCTGGCAACAGTGTTGCCAGTTATTTACTGTAACTGAACCGATACAGTGAGTAGCTGGCAACAGTGTTGCCAGTTAATTACTGTAATAGAGCAGCAGTGGTAACTAACTGGAAACTGTGCACAGTTAATTACTGTACTGTAGTGTTACAAATCACAGCACTATACTGCATACACATTAATAGTATGTCATATATAGTTATTGTAGTGTTACTAAAATGAATCAGTATTCTTAGCTGTTATTTAAAAATAGAAGGCATAACATTTTTTCAGACAAATTTATTTTATTGTTTTGGCACCAAACAAATAAATAACAGAAAATGTTTAACAAAATTAAGAAATCAGCAGATATAAATATTGTCTTGCATATTACAGGTCTGTACAGTAAGACTGCGGTCACACTAATGTTTGAGCATGCAAAATTCTGTCATACTGCACTGCGAAAATAAACAAAGCGAGTAGTGGAATTAAACAAAATAATTAGAGATTGAAAAAGCAAGCCAGAGAGGTCATGTTTTGATCTTTGATTGGTCTCAAGCAATCACATGATGTGATTTCGCATTCAGCTTTCTCCAAGCTTGAACTTTCCAATGCTGCAAATTATGAAATTTGTCGCATGAGCAATCATTCCAGGTCTGCAGTACTCACATGTGTATGAATGGAAGTCTATAGGGAGAAAAGTGCAGTGTGACTGGGACTTTAAGCTGTAACTCTAATTAAACACACCTGATCAAACTAATTAAGGCTTGTTAGAATTCTACAGGTAATGTTGAAGTAGGGTGAGTACTAAACTCTGTTCTGCAGATTTCAGTTGCTACCCATATCAAACACACCTGCCTGTAATTATCACGTGGTGTTCAGGTCCTAATTAATTGGTTCAGGTGTGTTTTATATGGATAGCAACTGAAATCTGCAGGAAGGTAGATCTCCAGGAACAGGATTGAGAACCCCTGGTATTAGCAATACTTTTAAAGCAACCGCCAACATTTATCACAATCACATATCCAATAAACACACACACACAAAGTGCTGCAGTGAAACGTGTTACTTTCTCCTCAATGCTGCCCATGCAAAAAAAAAAAAAAAAAAAAAAAACTGAACAGCAAAAAACACAAAATAATTATTTTAAATTTTGAAGTTTTAAATAATTAAAAACTGTGTCAACTCTCAATAAAAAGTTTAAAATAATTGTAGAAAACAAAAATAAAGTTGGCAACACTGAAAAACCAAAGGATAAAATCTTTTACTATTATAATTATCTCATGACAACAAACTTTTCTATTGCTTCTAATATAAATTCATAGATGGAAACACAGCTCTGAAAAATACTTAGCAACAAACTCACAACCTGGGACCGGACAGTGGAGCTTTTGTGTGTGGATGGCTATGTGTATCATGTTTTTGTGATTCCCTGTGATGATGTGCACATGTTACCTTACAGAGATGATGGAATTTAATTTTGGCTTAGTTGCCAGAAAGATACAAACAACTGTTAGCATCTGTACATTATGGCAGTATGCAATATCCAATAAATACATATACTGTACTTAAACAAAAGTAATGTAAGAAGTTATATGAGGAGAGGCTAACTAGCTAACAATATAGCTTTCAAGTACACAGTTCAAGATAACAACAGTATAACTTAAAACACAGCCTTATTTTAGAAACCCTCAAAAACATTTGAACACATTTTACTTACTCATTGTAGATTCTTATTTAAAGCCTAAAACATATCAGACTCTACATCTCAATTGATGGACATAGCAGAGAGCACAATCAGCAGTAAACAAATCAAACACCTGGCTCCCTTAAAGGGCCGGCATTTTCTGAAAACTTTCTAACACTTTTGTGTTTAGAATTAGACGGACAGCCTGTGGGAGTGTGTGGTGATGCCTAAATCATTGTTTTTTTACAGTTATTTACTACACAATCTACAGAGTAACAGTGCAGTTATACTAATTAAACACACCTGATCAAACTAAATCTAAAGGTAGTGTGCTGAAGCAGAGCTGGAACTAAATTCTGCTGGGCTGCGGCCCTTCAGGAGTTTGACATCCCTGGTACATAGCATATTTTCAAAGAAACTGCCTACATTTATCACAATCATGCACATATCATTGAATAAAAACAATAAAAATATAAAAACTTCATCCAAAGCAAATAAATAAATAAATAAAATAACCTGATTAATACATTTATTTAGGAAAGCCTTTATACTATATTGTTAATGCCACTTTTACCTACTTTATTTGAAGTTTTCCAGACAAATTAATTGAGTCTCTGCAAAAATGTATGTACGTGCTGTTTAAGATATTTTTTAAATAACACATTTTTACTAGTTATTTAGCAAAATACTAAAATTTAGCTTAAAGTGCAATTTAAAAGCTTAACTATAGGCTAAACTAGGCAAATTAGATTAATTATAGAAAAGTAAACAAAGTTATAAAAATGACTGTGATAATTTGGTTGCTCTGTGTGAATATTTTTGCCTTTAAATGCATCTCGTCGATATCTTTACTTTTTAATTACCTCTGTGACATTGACATTGGTTGACTCCTGATACTCAATGTTAAAAACATAAAAGGAACCAAAGAAAACACAAAGATGGCTGCAGAGAAATTTAGCTTATCATTAATGCATTGTCTCACTTTCTCCTCAATACTGACCATACACATACCAAAACTGAACAATATATATATATATATATATATATATATATATATATATATATATATATATATATATATAGCAACATAAAGCATCAGAGTACATGGGGTAATAATGGTTGAGCAGTAATTTACCATTTATTATCACAGTAACTATCTGTAATGGGTACATAAAGTAAATTACTGTAATTTATTCTTTGCACTACAAAATTTCATACAAATCCTGCTCCTTTTACAGTAAAATACTGTTTCCTTTTATTACAGCAAAACACTGGCTATTTTACAGTTATTTACTGCATAATCTACAGTAAGGGTTAACAGTGTATAGTGGTTTTAGCTTTATTTGCATTGTATTTGATTACACTTTACAATAAGGTTCATTAGTTAATTTTAATTAATGCATTTACTAACATGAACAAACAATGAACAAAACATCTACTACTGTACTTGTTCATGTTAGTTAATGTTAGTTAATGGAAATACAGTTGTTCATTGTTAGTTCATGTTAACTCATGGTGCATTAACTAATGTTAACAAGCATGGACTTTAATGTTAATAATACATTAGTAAATGTTCAATTATGATTAATAAATGCTGTACAAGTGTTGTTCATGATTATATCATGTTAGTAAATGCATTAACTAATGAACCTTATTGTAAAGTGTTACCTTGTATTTAATGTGTTTTCAATGCAAAAGCTTCTTTATTTAAAGACAAAAAAATAAATTTGATTAGTAATGCATGTTATGGATGTTTATTAAAAACAAGTTATGTACTATAAATTGTTCCTGACCTTTGACCTTAATAAAATTCAGATTTGGATCTTTAAATGTAGACATTGAGAACCCCTGGTATAAACGTTGATGTTCATCAACTGAAAGTTAACTTTTTTCTTCAAAAACATCAATAAGTGTAGGATGTAATTTCTGCAACATGTTCAATAATGTGAAAAACACATTTTTTTTAGTCAGTGGTTGTTGTTTTTTTGTTTTTCTAAAGTAGGAACTCTGATAGTTCTGCAACTCTGAGTTAACCACAGTCAGTAAAGCTAAAGATCATCAGTCGCTGTTGATCGGCTGCTCTTCAACACGGTAAGACAAACACACTGGTATTTGACTGATGATTAGTGTAGATGAAGCTCATATAACACATGATTTCTGACATGAGAAATATCTTGTGTTGATCTCAGTCATCAGTTGATTTACACACACTGATGTTGTGCATTAATAATCTGCAGATGTGTAAAGATCTTCCTAACACTAAGAGCTGTTTAGGGTGATGTACATTTACTGTTGATGAGTGTAGAAGTGATGATTAATGCTGGATTCTAGATAGATTTGATGCTGATGTGGCTCAGAATGGCTCCTGCTCTTCATCTGATCTTTCTGCTCATCATTCACAGTGAGTCAATCTTACATTCTTATTACAGTGAAACAAACTCAAATTATATTTCCATATGGTGGAAATTCCTCACTCTACATGTTTCTTATTGTGAATTTGTTCACTGAATGAGAAATATTCTGGACCCTCCAGTGTTTGGCATTTTTGTTAAAAGTTGTATTTTAACTGAGTGTGTAGTTTGTAACATGTCATGTTAGTTGATTATTGTTTGTGTTTTGCTCTTTTTATTTTCCATTATTGTTTTTTTTTCTCTGTTCTCTGTTTATTTCTGTCCTCCATCAAGACTGAAGTCATTCACACTGAGATCATTATTCATATTCACAACATCAGCTTAAAATATTATCTGTAATGAGTCCCTGTTTACCACTAACAGCATGTGTTCCTAGTGTCTTATAGTCAGTGTTATCTGATTAAACTACATTTTCATCATGACTGTTTTTGTGTTTCAGGGGTGTCTAGTGGTGATTGGTATGTGGATTACAGTCCTACACAATACTGTGCACTACAGAACTCAACAATGACAATCAGCTGCACTTTTATATACCCGACTAGATATAATATCACGAAAGTCTTCTGGAACAAAGACCAGATAAAACTTGATGGAGAGTTTGCAGATCTGTCTAATAACTCTGAATACAGTCAGAGGCTTCAGTATCTGGGAGATAAACAGCACAACTGCACCGTCAGACTGAGTCATGTGACAAAGAAAGATGAACACGAGTATTACTTCAGATTCATTACTTTACCTGATAATAAGTGGCTTGGTATTCCAGGAGTGCTTCTCTCTGTCACAGGTGACTCTCCTGAGGTTTCTCTCTTCTTGTGGTCATTATGTAGAATAATAATCAGTGTATGAGAGCAGCACTAGATATAATGTGTGTGTTGTGTTCAGATCTTCAGCTGGAGTCTCCTGCGAGTGTAAAAGAGAGAGATTTAGTCCGTCTGACATGTAAAAGCAGCTGTAAACTGACTGACACACCAACATTCATCTGGTACAGAAACTCACACACATTGACTAATATTGGAGATGAACTCAACATCAGGTCAGTCAACAGAACACACACAGGCAACTACAGCTGTGGTGTGCAGGGACAAACGTACATCTCTCCTGCTGTTTATCTTAATGTCAGATGTAAGTTTTCATCTTTTTATTTTAACCTTTTACTATTCACCTTTAGAAAACATTCAGACTTGCAAGATGTAAACATGTAAACATAGTCAATACATAAAAGTTAAAATACTCACTTTTGCAATACTGTCACCAAATGGTATGAAAGCTGTTGTGTGATTTTAGTCTTAAGAAGTACAACTATGCTATTATCGTCATATTATTAATATATTGGTTGTTTAATAGTACTTGTAATGCATGATCTTATTGTACATCCCTATACCTAAACTCAACTACTACCTTTCTAACTAACAATATGGAGCTAATAAGAAATGTTTTGAGTTAAAATATCTAAGTTAATGGTTTGCTAATAGTGAGAATTGTACCTTAAAATAAAGTGACCCAAATTAATTTGACAACTTTGGTGGTTATTTTATTTACATTTATGCAAACATAGATAAACATGTGGACAAAGGTAATTCAACAAATAAGGACATCATGCAGTGATGCAAATCACATGATCGGGGCTTTGCCAAATCCCAAACACAGATTAGACTTGATCAAGTGTGTTCACTGTAAAGACAGCAGAAAAGTTGATGGTTTGAATGTGATGTCTGTGTACACCACTGTATGTTTACTTCCCCATGTGCTCCTCTTCAGTGCTTGTTTTCAGGTGTGTTTTGGCATTTGGTTCCTTGTTCTATTTCCCGCCTTAGTTCCTCATTATCATGTTCACCTGTCTTTAGTCATTGATCTGTGTGTGTTTAAGTTCCTGTTTTCCTCTTGTTCCCTGTCTTGACATTAAAGTGCTGTTTACACCTAATCAATCTAATAAATAGTAAAATATACCATTGTTGTAAATTCCCATGTAACTTGTTTGAGGCGTGTATAAATCCGATCTCTCAGATCATTTCAGATTAAATTGGACGGGTCTAAAATAAATGCATCTGTTTGTTTTGTTTAATTTTCTTTGTTTTGTTTTAGTTTTGACTGTGAATTGATGAAATTAAATGGTTAAATTAATATCAGGTATCAGCATTAACAACACAGGCACATCAAACCTCTGTGAAAAGAAATAAATAATAATTTTTAAAAATCTTAAATTATATTAATCTACAAAGGCAATCTTAATCTCTGTCTGCAATGAAGTCTTACACATATCTATATGACAAAAATGGAGGTTTCGTTTAGCTTGAATAACATTATGCAATCTCTTTGTGCTCTTATAATGATTTTTTACAGCCTGTATATAAAACTATTTAAATGCCAAAATAAAAACACTTATACACTTCTGTAAATAAAAATATTAATTCAATAAAATGCTGTGTATGATGCTTTAGTCAACATAATGTTGTTAAATTTGCATATAGTGCTAGATTTATGGATTAGAATCAGATCCAATTATTTACACACATTTATGTGGTAAAGGGAAACATTTTCAGAAATCAGACAGCTATACAATCAGAAAAAAATGCAAGAAGTGACCAGGTGTAAACAGGCCCAAACTATCACCTCCGCCACCATGACACTCAAGTTTACATATCTTTTTTGCAATTAAAACCTAATCTAATCATAGGAAAGGTGTAAGACTGCTGCTGTTTTTTCTTTGTTTATGTAGAAAGGGTAATATATTAAAACACATTTGTCACCCTACAACCTGTGGAAGCATTTACAGCTACATTTTAAACCATGGTACTGTAGACATAAAGCACTCATAACACACTATATATCATTAGAAAGCCTAAAATTTCTTGTTTCTATATTTAGTGACTGGATATAGAACTAATATTTTATATAACTGTAATATATATATATATATATATATATATATATATATATATATATATATATATATATATATATATATATATATATATATATGTATTTATTTATTTATAACTGAACAACATTTATTTATTAATCTGCGACAAGTTGTAAAGCGTTACTTTGCTACAGCAATCCACATGTAAACAAATTTCAGCAGTTTTTAGATGTGTTTTAGAGGCTTAATTTAAATCCGATGCTACCAAAAATCCCACACTAATCTAAATTTAGTGTCTATAAATATTGTGAAAATTATGAATAACTACAGTTTAAAATCTTAGAACAAAAGGGGCGCCCTTGTGTGGTCTCTAACAGAAATCTTGTGGTCATGTTTGGTACTGCAGCCAAACAAAACTCTACTGAAAGCTCATTTTTGGAGATAGCTTCAAATTTGGAATATAATTTGGTGATATTTAGCTTTGCATGTTGAATTTAGCATTTAAAGTAACATAACCGAGTGGTGTGGTTCAATACTCACTGCTGAGAGTCCAAACACTGAAGAGTAATCAATAGATGCGCAGCTCTACAGGTCCCGAACCATGCAAGCCAGTGTCGACAGAGGTTAAACATGCACAATGACAGTTCCTATGAACACCCCCTTCGAGTGATGAGCTACCAGTTATTTAAATTACTTTAAAGCTCCAAAACTAAATTGCTAATTATTTGCTTTTGTCCTCATTTACTTAAGGAAGACCATAGCATTACCTTATTATTAAAATCAATGGGCAGCTCTTTTATTAAGCTGTATAGAGTACACATTTTAAATTGATTCTCATATTTATTTATGAGTCTTGTCTTTACATGTTTCTCCTGCAGATGCTCCAGATACTCCTGTGATCTCCATCAACAGATCTGCTGTAATAAAGGAGGGAGATTCAGTTACTCTGAACTGCAGCAGCAACGCAAACCCTCCTGCTCTGAACTTCAGCTGGTTTAAAGGAGAAACATTTGTAGGATCTTCAAGAATCTTCAACATCTCCAAGATCAGCTCTGATGACAATAAAAAATACAAGTGTAAAGCTAAAAATGACCTTGGAGAGAAATACTCTGATCCTGTGACTTTAGATGTCCAGTGTGAGTTAGCAAAACTAATTATGACATTAAACCATTAAAACTATTGTAACTGATAACAGTTTGTGTTTTTCTGTGTCAGACCCACCCAGGAACATCTCAGTGTCTATGAACAGATCTGCTGTAATAATGTCTGGAGATTCAGTGACTCTGAGCTGCAGCAGTGACTCAAACCCTCCTGCAGAAATCAGCTGGTATAAAGGAGAAACATCTGTAGGATCTGGAAGAATCTTCAACATCTCCAAGATCAGCTCTGATGACAGTGGAGAATACAAGTGTAGAGCCAGAAATGACCATGGAGAGAAATACTCTGATCCTGTGACTTTAGATGTTCAGTGTGAGTAAATGATGTTTCAGCAACTGATACATTAAAGGGGACCTTTTATGAAAAATCATGTTTATTAGGGGTTTAAACACAGATGTCTGTTAGCGGTGTGTGAATATAACCTAAAGTAAAATAATAATAATTAATTGTATTTGTTATAATCAGACTTGATCAAAACAGTCTGCAGAAACACTTTAATTGACATTCTCCCTCTGTATGATGTCATCAGAGGGGGAAAGCCCCGCCTACTAGTGCCCATCTCTCCCTCATTAACATAAACAGCAGCCCTGAGTGAGAAGCAGCCGTCTGTCCATTAGCCATTAGAGTGTTTGAGCTGCTGAAGATAATGTAAGCATAGACTAAGAGCATTATAGATGTGGAGTTTTAGATGAAGCACAACTGAACAGCGAAAGGAGTCTGAGCTGGAAACACACAGTAAGTTCAGCTTTCCAGTCTTCAGGTTTATGATTTGTTCATTCATTATGTTCAGCATGTAGAGAGATAAATGACAACACAAGGACTCAGGAGATAAATAGATCAAATGTTTTTTCCTGTTCTGACTGCATATGATTAACTTCTGTCTTTCAATTGATGAACGATTGAGCCCCTCCCGATAGACGTCTCGAAATAGGCAGTAATCTTCTCTTCCACTTGCACAATGTATTCAAAGAACTCATCGCTCTCAAGTCAATTCAATCAGAATTAATGAATCACTCTAGAAATGTTTCTGAGCCACTTATTTTGATATTTTCAGCTTTTCACGAAGATGCACAGGCATTTGTAGCTCCTCCCTCTTTTGTAAACAGCACAATCTCATTTGCATTTAAAGCAACAGTCAACAAAACAACACAATAAGGATCAGAGCTTAAAAGGGTCAGTTGCAGAGAGTTAGAAAACATACACACTCCAGAGCAGGGGTCTCAAACTGCCCACTCTCATCCTCCCTCCGGCCCGCAACGAGATTCAGTACCCCCGAAAATAAGATATAGCTTAATATAAGATAAAAATAAGATAGATATCGAAATAAAAATAAGATGCATATATATAGCTTGTACTCTTCTGTAAATAATAATGTAAATTCTGCGGTGTACTAATAAAAAATATGAATAAAAAGTTTCAGATGCTTTACTTGACTTAACCTGGTAAATCTGCACATAGCGCTGGATTTAAAGAGCAGAACTATATCCATTTAACAGAGATTCATTTACGTGGTCAAGTAAATGGAAACGTTTTGACAAATCATACAGCTATCCGATTAGAAAATACACATATAAAGTGATCAGGCCCTGCCACTTTCCCTGCACTCTAACATTTAAGTTTACATCCTTTTTTGCAAATAAATCCTAATGTTTTCATGAAAAACTCATTGAAAAGGTCTTGGACTTCTGCTTTTTGGGGTTTTGTTACAAAGGAAGAGTCATTAAAACACATTTACTGTCACCTTACAACCTGTAGGAGCAATTATGGCTGCATTATTAATATTGTAATATTTTAGTAAACATGAAGCAATCATGACAAACTACAGGTATATATCATTTGAAAGCCTAATGCTTGTAGTTTCTATATTCAGTGACTGATTTTTAATGTTACTGAGCAACAGTTATTTATTGATTGCAACAATGATACTTGTCAGAGTTGTAAAGCATTACTTTGCTACAGCAATCTACATGTTAAATGTTTTGAGATGTTTTTTAGAAGGTAAATTCAAATCAAATGCTACCCACAATACCATTCTACTTTACACTGTTAAAAAATATTGTTTGCCTTAAATTTTAAAGCTGAATCAAATTAGCCCTATAAGTCCATTGAACTTATGCTATGTTAAACTGACTTAAAACAGCCTGCGTAACTTATAAAATTAAGTTAGAAAATGATTAACTTAGTTTATAAAGTTACAATGAACTAAAAACATGTGCTGTCATGACTAATTGATCATAATTTTTTACATTGTAGACTTGTGAAATATTCTTTAAACAAGGGGGGCGCTCTTGTGTGGTCACCAATGGAAATCCTGTGGTCATGTCTGGTACTGCAGCTGAACAAAAACTTACTGAAAACTGATTTTTGGTGATATCAGCTTCAAATTTGGAATTTAATTTGTTTATATATTTAGCTTTGCATATATTTTAGCATTTAAAATGACATAACTAAGCAAATGACTCTTAATGACAGTCTTAAACATGCATAAAATCTCCTTCATATTCATAAAGTGTGTTTTTTTATGATTATAAATGTTTCATGACCATTTACTTAAATTACTTTAAACCTCAAAAACAACAACAACTTAAAATAATTGCAAATGTTTATTATCTGCTATCATCTGCTTATTAGCATACCATTACCTTATTATTAAAAATTCTAAGAATATAAAAAAACAATACAAAAACAATGGGCAGCTCTTTTAGTATGATGTATACAGTACATACATAAACTGATGGTCATATTTATTTGTCTTTATCTATGTTTCTCCTGCAGATGCTCCAGATACTCCTGTGATCTCCAATAGGTCTGCTGTTATAATGGAGGGAGATTCAGTGACTCTGAACTGCAGCAGCAACTCAAACCCTCCTGCAAACTTCAGCTGGTTTAAAGGAAATAAATCTCTGAATTCTGGAAGAATCTTCAGCATCTCCAAGATCAGCTCTGATGACAGTGGAGAATACAAGTGTAGAGCCAGAAATGTACATGGAGAGAAATACTCTGATCCTGTGACTTTAGATGTTCAGTGTGAGTTAGAAAAACTATAACATTAAACCATTAAACCATAATCTGTGATGTCAAGACTATTGTAACTGTTAATGGTTTGTTTTTTTCTGTTAGACCCACCCAGGAACATCTCAGTGTCTATGAACAGATCTGCTGTAATAATGTCTGGAGATTCAGTGACTCTGAGCTGCAGCAGCGACTCAAACCCTCCTGCAGAAATCAACTGGTTTAAAGGAGAAACATCTGTAAGATCTGGAAGAATCTTCAACATCTCCAAGATCAGCTCTGATGACAGTGGAGAATACAAGTGCAGATACAAGAATATACATGGAGAGAAATACTCTGATCCTGTGACTTTAGATGTTCAGTGTGAGTAAATAATGGTTCAGCAACTGATATACTACAGGGGACCTTTTATGAAAAAGGTCAGACAGTTGTTTAAATATAGCCAGTGTAAATGTGTTAATATAGCCAGCGTCTAAAATTAGTAATGCATTATCTGAGTTTGTTCTAATCAGACTTGATAGTAACAGTCTGCAGAAACACTTTGATTGACATTCTCCCTTTGTACGTGTCATCAGAGGGGGGGAAGCCCCGCCCACTAGTGCCCATCTCTCCTTCATTAACATAAACAGCAGCCCTGAGTGAGAAGCAGCCGTCTGTCCATTAGCCATTAGAGTGTTTGAGCTGCTGAAGATAATGTCAGCATAGACTAAGAGGATTATAGATGTGGAGTTTAAGATGAAGCACAAATGAACAGCGATAGGAGCAACATAGACTGACAGAAGTTTTCTTAGTGATGGGAAGATCAGATGATTTTACTCGGAGCTTTAAGTCTCCTCCAGCAAGATGAATGAACCTCTTTTTTGAGTCACGTCATTCACTTTGCCAAAATATCAATAAAATATTACGAGTTGCTTTCAAACACATCTACAACTAAACTTTAGGGACATCAGACACTTATTTTACATCTTGTAAAAAGGGTAATTTTTAAATCTTCTTAAGTAAACTGTGATGCCATATTTGTTGTACGCATTCGTGATATCAGTGTTTTTCTGTTTCAGATCCTCCCAGGAACGTCTCAGTGTCCGTCACTGATTCTGGTCAGCTTTTTTCTGATTCAGTGAGTCTGATGTGCATCAGTGACTCAAACCCTCCTGCTCTGAGCTTCAGCTGGTTTAAGGAGAATCAAAGCTCAGCTGTTGGATCTGGACAGAGTTTCAGTGCAGTACAGAGTGGACGCTTCTACTGTGAGGCTCACAATCCACATGGAGCTCAGAGATCAGACGCCGTCACTGTCACTGGTGAAGCTTTTATCATCACACTCCTGTAACTTCATCAGTCTGGAGAGTTAATCATGATCTGCTTCATCTTTCAGTTCATGAACATGCTGAGAGAAACATCATCATCACAGCGACATCCGTAGGAGTATTAATCATCTTCATCATTATCATCGTCATCATCGTCCTGTTTATTATGTGAGTTCAATGAAACAAAATTATTTTTTTATTTTATTTTAACTCAATTAAAATATCTGCTATAGTCAAATATGCAAATTCATGCATCCCATGTGGAGATATGTGCCCAGGGCTACGTTTTTGGGAACTGCAAGATATCTACCCAGGGCTTTGTTTGCTTGCAGTTTTTGATTTCACAAATCCACTAGGGGGCGCTGTATACATTTTTGACAACCTCAAATACATTTCTGATCTATGTTTTCTTATAAAACATATTCGTTCTTGTAAATATGTGTACATTTCTGCAAACCTCAACATCCTTCTCAAATTCGTCTATAATCCACACACCCCCTTTCCTAAACCCAACCGATAGTGTTTTCAAAAGCAAATTAGAAGAGAAAATCATCACAAACTCATGCTTTAACCACAACAACACAATGTTTTTTTTTACTTGTTTTTTGGAAGTGTCAAACACTGGGATGAATCCCGGTCCACTCTACTACAACACTGCACAAGGTAAGCTACCAAGCACACTGACCATCCTGGAAAAGCTGTCCATATGGAGGTGATCAGTCAGCAGTAACACAAAAAGGGTTCAGAAGTTGTCTCCAATGACATATCGCCACATATTGATAGTGTTTTCACACTAAATGCAGGCCGTTGTACCCGCAGACACATATTTCATAGTTCGCAAAACTGTAGCCCTGGGCACATATTCCCAATGAGCCTGTGTTGAATTCATGTTTGATTATTTGTAACATTTTATTATATGCATATTATATTTTCATTTATTTATTAGAGTGATTAATACTCTGTTAATGTGTGTTATTATTACAGAAAGAAACAAAGGAGTGTTAAATCTGAAGGTCTCATAGTGACGCAGGTAAATCATACAGATACAACCTTAAAATCAGTTAAACTAATTTTTTCCTTTGTGTGATTAAAATTTATGATCTATTTTAGATTTTATGATGTGAAAATCCTCAGTATATTTACATGCCATCTCACATATTTCTGCTTCTAATTGCAGTGTGAATGAATAAAATATTTCTGAAATGTTGATCAGACTGTTTCAGATGCTAATGAATGCTTTATTGTCTTGTGTTTCAGAATGATCTGTATTCTGATGTGCCACAGAAAACTCAAGTTTACGACAATCCAGTTTGTGACCCTGGACCAGTCGATGAAGCTCCGTATGAAACTGTGAATCCCAGAATAAGTGCTGAATGCAGAGGTGCTGAGGAGATCCAGTACGCCACTGTCCAATATCACAAAAACACACCGAAGAAGAAAGAGGAAGAAGAGGAGCAGCGTCAGTGTGACAACACACCAGTTCAGCAGCCTGATCAAGACCACAGGTGAGGAGAAACTGCTGGACCACCAACAACTGCACTAAACACAAGCTGTAATATTTTCAACACTGTAATTCTGTGAACAAAAGATCCTGTTTTGAGCATGCAAAATAACTTCTTGCATGTGCATTAACAATTCTGCACACAAAAGATCATGTTTTGAGCATGCAAAATGACTTTGACCAAATGACAACCTTAGTTTGAAGGTTTGTGTAGTTCCTTTCATGCACATGCAACATCAGGCTCAACTCGCTTGCTCAATATTAAACCAGTGTTACAATACAGCAGCCATCTGATTGGCTGGATTTCTGTTATATAGTAAAACTAGTTATATGTCGAGCATAACATTTATTGCATTACAGACTGATGAAGAGGAATATAAGGCAAAGGGTAAAATGTATAATAATAATAATAATAATAATAAAAAACCACAGACTTGAACTTTAATAATTGACTACTGTGTATATTGCTAGTGTTTTCAGTCATTATTATTAGTGTTATTTTCTCTTAATTTTTAGCAGTTATTTAACTTTTTCCTTTTCATATTTTTTTACTTTTATTTATTCCTTGAAATGTAATTTTTATACGCAGAACTCTTAATGCAAAATTATAATGCCATATGAAAACACCCCTAACATCACAACCATCAGCTAAACCAGCACTGATTATATGATCTCTAACACTGGTGTGTTGTGTTTGTTTTAGGCAAGAAAATGTGGAAACTGTGGAGGAGTCTGTGATTTACAGTATGCTCAAATGAGTGTCCATGGGAAATTAATGAATAATAGTTGTGGTTTCAGATTAGTTTAATGATACTATGTGAATTTATGTTATTATTGAGCTTGTCTGAGTGTAATCTGTTAAATGTTGTCTACTGTTTCCAGTAATATCTGGATGCAGCCTTTATGATGCAAGCTGAGATGTCGGACACACTGCACTCAATGGAGCTAGTGATGTCACTGTTAGGGGCGGGGTTAGGTGAGTCCATTAAAAAGCAGGTTTGCTCCCGGAGCCTTCTCGTAGTTTAACATTACTTTCAGTCTAAGTTTGAGTAGCTTAGAAACCTAAACAACTCTGAGGATGATAGAGAAATATAACCACATTCCGATTATGCTCAACAATTAGCCTATGCTAACTTTATGCAGCTAAAGAATCATTTACTCTAGTAAAACTGTCAGCTTTTAACTGTTTTTAACACTTCTTATATTGGAAACTTGTTGTATCTGTGAGAGAATTTCCTCTTTATATGTTAACTAATTAAAAAATGGGTCAATAAATATGAACCACCATGCTGATTTAAAGGTTTTGTTTGCTGTTTCTTTTCTGACCTCTAGCGGTTGATAAGGGAATTACTGCTCATAATATTTTTTTTTCTGATAGCATGCATAGGTGTTAAACTGGATTTCTGGAGGGCCTCAGCTCTGCAGTTTTGCCCCAAACCTAATCAAACACAGTTGATCCAACTAATCAATGTGTACAAGACTAGTTAAATCAAGTGTGTTTAATTAGGGTTGGAGCAAAACTGTGCAGAGCTGCTGCCCTCCAGAAATCGAGCTTAATAGTATACAGTAAGGGAAAAGAAAGAAGGAAATATCATATTTCTTCTGTCTCAAATTCAATATGTACACAATATGTCTAGATTAGTAAAAAAAAAAAAGCACCTCGTGTTTTATCCAAGTGCAGTCGGCATACTGCCACTCCAGTCTTGTTAATTCTTGTTTAGAGTCCAGACACTAGTCATGTTATGTCTTGCATGTTTTGTTCAGTTGTCGCTCCATCTTTTCTTGACGTCAGTAAATTATCAACTGTAATTAAAAATAAAACTGTAGAACGAATAAAAGAAAATAAACGTTCACATTGCTGATACAGAAAGCATTTTATTTTTGTCATTTTTCAAGATATACATTACACATTCAGATCAAAAACAATGAAATGCTCACATGGCATCCATGCACAGCGTACATTTCAAAGCCACAGTTTTAATGAAGAAGCAATAGGTAAGCTAAATTATTTTTTTTTAAAGTGAGTTGCTACCAAGTAAATATACAGTAATGAAGTTAATAAATTATAATTAGTATAAATACTATAATGAGTGTCACGGTGGCACAGTGGGTGGCACGATTGCCTTGATAGCACAACCCCGGCTGGGTCAGTTGGTATTTCTGTGTGGAATATTGCATGTTCTGCGTGGGTTTCCTCCAGGAGCTCCGGTTTCCCCCACAGTCCAAACACATGCGCTACACTCTCAGAAATAAAGGTATGCAAGTTGTCACTGGGGTGGTACCTTTTCAAAACGTATACCTAAAAAGTCCATATTAATACTTGAAGGGTACAAATTAGTACCTAAAAAGTACAAAAGTCTTCCTCTTAAAATTTGTAGGTACTAATATTTACCTTTGAGGTATCAACATGGACCTTTTAAGTACAAATGTGTACCTTTTGATAAAGTATCACACCAGTGACAGCTCTCATACCTTTATTTCTCAGTGTATATGGCAATTGGTTAACTAAATTGGCCGTAGTGTATGAGTGTGTGCAAGACTGTGTATGGGTGTTTCCCAGTGTTGGGTTGCAGCAGGAAAGGCATCCACTGTGTAAAACATGTGCTGGATAAGTTGTTGTTTCAATCCGCTATGGCGACCCCTGACGAATAAAGGACTAAGCCGAAAAGAAAATGAACGAATGAATTCTATATTAGTTACAATATAATCAGATGTTGGTTCTTTTTGCGGTCATACAGGTTTTACTTGAAACGTCCTGTAATGCCTTGCATGAATTTTTGGGATGTCTTCGTTATGGACTTTTTGTTCCCGGGCAGAGCTTTGCTGAGTTTATCACCGGCGTTATTCATGCTGTCAGCAACATCAGCGATTTTATTCGCAGCTTCTTTCATGCCGCCCACAGCTTCATTCAGCCGATCGGGAACATCCTTTAGCTTTTTAAACAAATCCATTTCTTCTTTTTGCTCTTGTAGATATTGTGAGATTCCTGTGAGCAAATGAGAGAGAATTATAAATGTCACATATATCACATGTGAGGATTTAAAACTAGGTAAAGTTGATTTTATATTGGCACTTATATGTACGGTGGTTGTGCTGCAATTTAAGAAAACACATGCATTACAATAAACACCAGCACATTAGGAAAAGATCCTCATCGCTTTGACAGCACTCATGTTGCGAATCCTTACAGCGCAATGACATTAAGAAAATGTGCTGTAAATCCAGGGACCGGTTTTTCAAAAGTAATCCACTAGGATTTTGGATAAGGGATTGGATCAAATCTTGAAAATGGGTTTTTCAAAAGAAAAAACGGATTACCTAATCGGATTAGATCACGTAATCTAATCTTGGTTTTGATGCGGTCAAACCTTTAGTTTGGGTTTTTCAGATCTTTTTTGTAGGATTTAGATCACTTTGATCCAAAAAACCTGGATTAAACTGATCCCATCAGAAGGGTGGATTTAGCGTGGATTTCATGCCCAAAATGTAATGAAAACTTTAAAAATGTATGAAACAATACTATTTTTGGATCATGCAGTATCTTACGAGATATACTATTTATTCATAAGGTTTTAATTTTATTTGTTCATCCGTCAGGCTGTAGTGATTATTGGCTTTAACATATTTAGGCTTTCAGTATAGGCCTACAGCAAACAGCTGGCAAAATTGACCAGAAACAATACATTTTATTCAGTCACTAATTGATATATATATATATATATGTATCACAATGGAAAATATTTTTGTTTTTAGAATATTTATTAGTGATGCATGCAATGATTACAGAATAACCAAGAAAATGCAAAGAATGGCAATCACTGATTTTTAAAATCACCTTCAACAATTGCAAAAAGAGACTGAAAGGGCAGAAGCACAGCTTCATCTGGCCGAGGCCAGATTTGAGATTTGCTGCCTTCAACAGCAAACCAAGGCCAGATTTGAGATTCACCTCCTAAAGGCTTTGCTCAGACAAGCTGCTCTCTCCATATCAGATGAGGAAGTCTGAAATTATTGTGGAGTTTTTGACATTAACATTTTTTTTTATTTACATCTATATTTGTAGCTTATTATAAATACCTCAATGTACAGTGTTGTAGGTCTCAGATAAACGGACTGCTGGAAGAGGATGGGGTGGGGTTTTTATTGTTTTTTTTAAATGTGGGCTTTCATTTCTAATAAAAAATAAAGTTATATTTAACCCACACTGACTATTTTACTTGTTGCTGTTTACATAGGCCTATCTATCCATCTACATTGTGATTGATCAGTGGTAATCCAGATTTAGTGATCCTGAAAAGTTCCTATCCGGATCAGATTGATCCAATCCAATGTTGCTTTGAAAAACTGGATCAAAAAGTAAGCTGGATTACATGATCACGGATCGCAAAAACAGGATTACTAAATCCGGATCAATTTTATCCGGATTAAACCTTTTGAAAAACCGGGCCCAGGTGTTCAGAGCGTGGCTTCATAAAACACTGAAACAGCCAAAGCAAATGTGTCAAAGCTTTTGTCTCTAGTGACACCCAGTGGTCATTTTTATCTATTGTTATGAAATAGCTTCAGCAAAGAAACAGTTACGCACATTGAAGTATTAAACCCCACATTGAAGAGTTGAGGTTTCAAGTGATTTAGTCAAGCAGTGAGAGTTCCAGACTAGCATGCAGAGATAATGGGTTCAATCCAGGGGGATGCAGCTGTCATTTTTAAATGCTCTGTTCTTGTAACATGTTTTGTTTTAACATTGGTCTGATATCTGAATGCACACGTAAACAAATATGTCTTGTCTTGGTCATAAAAAGGAACATTATTAAAATACATCGTCATAATTTCAGAATATTTGTACAAGTCAGTATTTGAACTCGGGACATTTGCAGCACAGTTGCTCTATATGCACACGCACAATCTCCCAGGGGTCCGTTCTTCGTACCTCGCTTAAATGATCTAAGATGATTTGGCAGATCCTGGATCTTTTAATCTTGATAACTGATCTCTCGCTAATTTGGTTCTTCAAACAAGTTCGTGAATCAGATTAGAATGTCTGGATGAACTGATCTGAGATCGCTGTGTGTTGTGAAGGACAGATCTATGGATCCTCCAAATCATGATCAGCAATGCAGCGATTGGCTGACGGCACAGCAGCGTAATGACATCATCTGATTAATATTCAATTATCCATGTGAGCAAAATTACATCAAATTAGCAGTAAACGGCTTGTTAAATATGACACGCAATAACCTTCCACATGTGTTGTGAGCTGCAGGCTTTACTCTTTCATGTGTCAAGAGTATTCATCATGTATTTCAATGCAAATCAATGTATTTAGTTCCACATCTAGAAAAGATCTTCTTTATTATAGTAGCCGTTTTTTTAATCTGTGTAAAGAATAACTGGTTGTTTACAAAAGCATTTTGATGTTGGTAAAGGCGTCTGCAACTTTTGTGAAGCATCAAATCACTGGCATATTAACTATCAAGACATGTTTATGACTGCATAAATGTATTATTGCTTTAAAAAAAAGTCACATATTCTGCATTTCTATTATACACAATTTGTACTAAAGCGATCTAAAAAGTTCATATCAATAAGTTTTCTCTTTGCACCACCAGGTGGCAGTCTTTGTACTTTCATTTCAAGAGTGCAGATTGCATACGTTTTATTAATATATATTTATTTTATTAATAACTATACCTTTATATATGGTTTAAAAAACATTTACTCTTTTCCCAAGTGTATATAACTACTACTGTAAGAAAATATCAGAATTCAGAACATACTTTCCGTATTATGTTTGCTTGAACTGAGCCGATCTAATCCTGTTTATATGAATTGAACCTGCTCCCGATCAGGTTTAAGCTAACAGAACTGTTGCTATGACGACAACTCTCGAATCAGCTTTGAAGAACGAAACGATCCTGGATCGTGTCAAATCGTCAATATCCAAATCCAGCTAACTGAGTAATCCACGTACGAAGAACGGACCCCATATCTCGAAACTACTGAAATGATCGATGCTTTGAATTGCTTTAGTCACATGACCAAGGCTTTTCAAAACAGTTTAGTCATGTGACCTGTGTATTTCGGATCATGTTTAC